TGGGAGCCCGACTGAGGTAAGGATGAAGGAGCTGAGGAGGAGGTTGGCGTGCACATCACCCTCTGGGCAGCAGGCTTGGCTGCCCAGGAGCTCCAAATGCCAGCTTGGAGCACAGCCGGGTCCTGGCTGCCTAAGCGACCCCGCCTGTGGAGAGAGGCAGTGCCAGCAGCTGGAGGAGCCCTGGGCACTGACACAACTGGCAGAGGAAGGCATCCAGCTTGCCTGAGCAGGCAGCCTGGGGATGTGGGTGGGACCCAGGGCCCAGGATTAAGTCCCCTCCTTCTAGCTGCTGATTCTTCTAGGAGATGGCCGGCCACAATTACAGCAAGGAGGATAAGAAAGACCATTGATGGGGTGAGCTGCAGGCTGTGCTAGTACAACAGTGCCAACATCACAATGCCATTCACTGTCTTGGGTCACTGCTCATTACTCAGGGCCCTCCCCTTTGACCAGTCAGAACAGCCCCTCCCAGCACAGCGGGGTTGCTGATTCAGTGGTACAACGGGGCTCCCAGTCACCAAGCTCTGGTCAGACCACAGTTGTTACATTGCTCATCTAATTTTCGTTGGGCAAGAAACCTCACAGAAGCCCCAGAGAATCCTGGGCTCTGTTGTGTTCTTCCCTGCCCCACACCCTAGCAGTGGTCCTATTCCTGCACGATAATGGGCATCCCACACCCCTATAAGCATAAGACCTCCTTCCTCCGACTACTGTCCACAATGACAAGAGGAGCAGCAGCTTTAGTGTCCCTAAGGAGAAACAACTGCACTTACTGACCTTCAACACACAAGGGCATGAAGACTGCCAGTCCAGAAGGGCCCAAGGTCAACACAGTTCCTGAAGTGAGTGACAGGGACAGATCTGCCCGCTGGCCAGCACTACATGGACAGAGCTGCTGTTCCATAGAAGGAGCACAGGAACAGTCCAAACCCATTAGAAGCAAGTTTTATTGGAACTAGGAAAAATAGCCATTCATAGTAGGCATGAGAATGCTTAATCAAGAAGATGAAATAAGGGAATAAGGGAAAACCTCACCAGCATCTTGATAGTAGAGCTCTGTGGTGTTTAAGTGAACCCAGCCGGACAATGGCCTTGGAGAGAAGTGCCCACATTTGGGGCACAGGTTCCAGATGTGGAGGGCAGCAGCACAATTCCTGTTTCTCAGGAATTGTGGCTTTTTTTCTAACCTGTCTGATGACTCCAGAGAAGCTGGGTCACCTCTGAGCTGTCTCTGAGGGCTGAAGCAGATTCCCAGAAAGCATTTGTTAAAAACACCAAAAGGTGGGCACATTAGCCATTTCTACTTGGACACCAGAAAATAGCTGGGGTAAACTGTAGATAAACCAAAGCCGCAGGGAGAAAGACTGGAAATCAAATGGGATAATCAGGGAAAATAGGGCTCTGAAGTGCTGTCACACCTGCCTGGGACCAAGGGGATCACTTGCATGGCCAGGGATGCAAAGTCTAAGACGGTGCTGGAGACATCCGGCTCGCACCCAGAGGCTTGTCCCAGCACACCCAGTGCTCATCTGTGAATACTGAGGGCTTTTTGTTTTGTTTTGTTTTTTCCTGTTTGGCTCCAGACAGAGAATACAACTCTGTCTAAGCCACTCACTGACTGCAAGAGCAAAGACCTTGTGGCTGCACGAGACAAAGGAGAGAATCTTCACAAAATTAATTGAGAGAAGAAGACTAAGCAAACAGCAGTTACAACAACCAGCAGCAATAAATTCCAGTGAAGAAGAAGCAAATGTGATGACCAGAGTTGCATTATAATAGGAAAGCTGTTCACTTTTCTTTTCTTTTAAAGGTTCGATTTTCAACCAAAAATTATGAGTCATAAAATGAAGCAAAGTGTGTGCGCATGCACGCGCGCGCGCGCACACACACACACACACACACACAGGACAAACATAATGGAGACAGTCCACAAGAAAGCCAAAACTTTGGACTGACTGCACAAAGTCCAAGACATCTTCAGATCAATGCAAAGAACTACAAAAAGCCGTGAGGATGTGTCAATACACAGAGAAGGTCAAGACAGAGATAGGACTTATAAGGGGACCCAGGAGCATTCTGAGGTTGAGCTACAATAACTGAAATGCAGAGAAAGTCAGTATTTATGTGAGCAAGTTGCAGAAAGACTCAGCAAGCCTGAAGGTGGATCCACTGAGATTTTCCAGTCTCAGAAGTTAGAAAAGATAAAGGGAAATAAGCAGAGCCCAGGAGGTGGGAGGGACACCCCGGAGACACCAACATTGCCACCAGGAGCTGGGGAGAGCATAGAGAATCAATGGTGGCCACTTGGCGAGCATTGTCAGAGGTGTCATGCTGCATGTCCAAGGACTGCAGGGAGCCCCAGGATTCTCACTGGGACGCACTGCATCACATTGCTGACCCCTAGAAACAGCCAGCAAGGGGTGCCTCATAGAGAAGTCATCTTTACTGACACCCACAGCTGATGTCACCTCAGAAACCAGGGAGGCCAGGGGACAGTGGACGACTTATTCAAAGTGCTGAAAGAATACACTGGTCAGCCAAGGGTTCCTTGTCCAGGAAGCTATCCTTCAATAATGAGAGAGGGAAACATTCCTCAGGAAGTGAATGCAGAGCTCTTTTTCTGGGGAGAGACTTGTCTTATGAGAGGTCCTTCTGGCTGAAATGAAATGCTTTAAACAGTGACTTGAATCCATACAAAAAAGCAAAGACTGTCAATAAGGTAATTTAAAAAGACTCAACACAGTGATACTATGGGAACTATATTCCGAAAACAAGGAGGACCACATGCTGTCATATGTATACCCATTTCTAGAGCATTCAAATATTATTTATAATATTTACATTATAAAATATTTTACCTTAGAAAAACATTTTATAATTCTATATTTAGAATATATTTATAATAATTCTAACTATGTTATGAATATATAGCATAATAAATATATCATTATTATATGCTTATAATAATGAATAAATATGAGTCAGTTCTAAATTATCTATGGTTTGTAACTCTTCTTTTTTCCTATATGGTTTCAAAACTAACATAAGACAATGATTATGAATATAGATAGATAGGTACACAATGTACAAATGTACAATTTGTAATGATATCATAAGTAGAGAGGGAGGACAGAGATGCATAGAAATAATGCCTAGTACACTATTGTAGCCAGTTGCATTAATTGAACTAACATA